CGTTAAGTCGACTTAGAAGTTTATGCCGGGGTCTTTGACGATATAGATGTGTTACAAACGGAATGACAAATTTAATATACCTTTGTTTCCAAGTTGGAGGGTAAAAAAACATTTTAGTATCTTTTTAGTACGAATTTCTAAAAAGCCATTCACAATGCTATGGAGGGTATACTAGATTTGTCTTTCCATTTGAAACTTCTCAAAAAAAGTCTATTTAAGTCTCATTTTTCAACAGAATTTTCTGTAAATTGGCAGTTTGTGTTCCCTATATGCAGGAAACATCGTTGCAAAGTACTGCCATATAGGTCAAGGATATCCTGTATTCTGATGATTTGAGTCACATTTTTCACCGAAATGGTATAAAATTTCGTATTTTGAGTTCGAATTGGAAATAAAATATCTTATGTAGGTCCACCTCATGGTATAACCCCCACATAATGGTACATCCCTATATTCGTCATTTTGATATTTGTAGCTCCACTTTTCACCGGAAATATTTAAAATTTGGAACTCGCAACGGGCGCAAGTCCTTAAATTGCCTGTGCAGATCCACATCTCGTATATCCCTACAGCGTGAGATGAAAAAACTGCAACCAACTTCAGACTGCTGTCGTTTCTAAGTCACTTGTCCGACAGCTGTTAAAATTGTTCCAGTGACAGCTCATTATATTGTTTACAAGCGTACAAAATCATTCTGGTGAGAATTTTCCAGAAAAAAAGATATTTCGTGATGGAATTCAAGCGTGATAGTGTGATTTTTTTATATTTGGCTGAAAAACCACAAGTGGCTATCGTAAGAGCACTCCAGCATTTAAATGTGAATAAATCGGTCGATACTGTTATAATGGTAGCGTAGCCCGACATCAAGGAAGTGGACGGAAAACAATAGCAACATCAGTAGAAACGGTTCGAAATTTAAAGAAGCGATTTGGTCGAAACCCACGTCGCAGTGACCGAAAAATGGCTCGTGAGCTCAACATATCGCAGTATTCTATTCGGCAAATATGGGAAAATGAATTCGGGGTAAAGCCACCGAAATTCCAAAAAGTGCAAGAACTTACACCACAACAGAAAGTAAATAGACTCAAAAGAGCTAAAGATTTGCTTCGCTTGGCCGAATTTGGTTTTCTCCGATGAGAAAATATTCGTTGTCCAGAAGTTTGTAAACAAAAAAATGATCGTGTTTATTTGCCAAAGAGGTTGGCTGAAAATGTGCACATTCGGTTGGTCACCAGAACTCAAGTGCCGGCCATGGTGATGGTGTGGGCCGCCATAACATCCAATGTTCGCTTTCCGCTCGTCTTAATCGACCGTGGCATCAGTATAAATGCCGAATATTATCGCGAAAATATTCTGGAGGGTGTATTAGAGCCTTATATTATCTTATTAAAGAAATCATCCATCCAGTCATAGGATACAAAATCGTTATTTGGATATGACACATTTAGCCATAATGATGACTGAAACTGTGATATTGTCAAAAAATATATTTTTTGTAAGATATCGATCTCGAGTCATTTTTTCATTAAATGATATATCTCAGAATTTCTATAATTATTACCAAGAGTTTATAATTAATTTGGCGCAGATATCACAGCCATATTTGGATTTTATCGACTTTTAATACTGTGATACTAGGGTTTAGGCACCTCAGTGCCAGTATAACATCTGAGCTTTTAATTCCATATCTGGGAGGACGTATTTATAGACTTAAAAAAGTGGTGACCATATTATTATTTGTCTAAAAGGTAACTCCCGATATTCAATATTTTGATGATTTTGCGACTTTTTCCCACGAATATGTCTAAAAATTGGTATTTGTGGGACACAATGGGTTGTAATGTTTCCTTCACCCTAAGGTAGATGGTATTAAAAGTTTGGCCCGCCCGAACTTAATGTGTTTTTAACTCTACAACACTATGTGTTGGGGGTATTATAAGTGTGATTTGGACAAAAATTATGTAACACCTCGAAATATGGATTTCCCACATAGGAAAGTATATATGAATCTTTCTATCTCGCCGAGCTGAGTCGATCTAGCTATGTATGTCCGTCCGTCCGTCTGTCCATGTTAAGTTGTAATCACTCTACAGGTCGCAATTATGGTTCGATTCTCACGAAATTGAAAATGTAGTTGGGGTTAGGGTCAGAATAGAACCCTATTGCTTTTGGAGATGGTCGCATAATATTCAGGGGTTGAAATGGACTAAAAACTGAAAATTTTCATGATTTTGCAGTTCCTCTACAGGTCGCTATTATAGAACAAACGACGCGAAAGTTAGTATGGGACTAGATCTTAGGGCTGGGCAGAAGTCTTCCAATTTTAATGGTCATCGGGTAATAATTAGTGGGTAAAATAGACCATAACGTTTGTGTTAAATAAAAGTCAAATTTTTCATTAAACCGCGAATATTTTTAATCCCGGCGAAATCACATATAGACGAACAGGTCAATCCTGGCCAATAGTAAATATATCGGATATATATTGCGAAATATATACAATGTGTATATACAAAGGAAGGGGATGTTTGTTAGATTGCTTATATCTCAGAAACGGCTGGACCTATTTCGGCAAATCTTGAAAATTCAGAATGCCCTCGTGGCACAAAAGAATAAAATCTAATAAAAACGCATAAAAAGATGCCTATAATGATGTTAATATAAATTTTGTAGTATTTTTTGACATTTTTTACATATTTTTTATCGCATGCGATTTTTCCAATTTGACTTAAAATACATTTTGTGATATTTTTCCCCTAACAACACAGGTTGGGGTTATTATATACAGATTGCAATTATCGTTCGATCCTCACGAAAATTTTCATAAGGGTAGGATTAGGCTCAGAAGGGCTAGGCCTATTGTTTTTAAAGATGTCCCCAATATATTTAGGGGTTGAAATGGACCAACAATTAAAACTTTTCCTGATTTTGCAGCCGTTATTAAGGTCACAAATAGAAAGCAAATGACACGAAATCTCGCATGAGTTTAGAACTGCGGGTTGAATGGACCACTATTTATGTGTGAAAAAATACCAACATTTTCATTCTACCGAAACGCTGAAAATAACTTACAGGCGAAATCCAAAATACACAAAAGGCGAACTTCTGGCTTTTTATGCTGATTTCGTTAAGGAATATAGCCAAACATCATATAGAAGATCAGTCTAAATTTGACTATACAGTGGAACCTCTTGCATTTGGAGATGATCGCAAAATATTTAGGGATTCAAATGAACCAAAAACAGAAAAATTTTCCTGATCCCACAATTGAAGCCAATCGACACGGATATTTGCCTGAGAAGAGGGTTAAGGACAAGGAAGAAGTCTAGCATTTCGGATGACCATTGGATTATACTTAGCTGTAAAATGGACCACAACAACTAACAACAGACGGAGAGCGTAAATATTAGGCAAATGCTCCTGGACAAAAAGATAAGGATAATATCTGGGCAATGTTCTATGACATAATTTCAAATGCGGAGTCTTCCAAAATGGATTTGGATATAAGAGTGCTTCTAATATATTGTAGTGTTGTAGGGTATCACATGGTCGGCCCCGCACGACTATAGCCTTTGCTTACTGGTTTTTTACTTGTTTTTAATTTCAATTGAATATTTCACGATCTAATACCCATTTGCTGTTTTTCACTTTAAACCGAAACGTTCTAAGCCAAACAAAGATTTCAAAGGCAAAAGTTTAAATAAATGTAATCAAATATTATACATTTGAAATTATATGCTTATATGTCAAAAGTGAGCCCAGCTCGGCAGATTTTGTCAAGAAGTTGTTATTTTCGTTTAGTAAGTTTTAATAGAAAGAAAAAAACACGAAATTTAAACAAAAAATATTGTCTGCAATAATTGCTACACCATAATATTTAAATATCAAAATGTCTACGTAGTTAATTGTACTTGGTGTAAGAACTAAAAATGTTAAACTACACATGACTATAATAAATTCAGCAAAGATTTTTATTGGCATCCTAAAATTCAATTAAATTATAATTATTAAGGTCGATTCTAACGAATCAGCTTATTTCAATAACATATATTTATGTGCCTAATAATTGTCATTTTCACTTAATTACCAGTCTCAATGCACATACACATCAACGTCATTGGACTCACAAATTGTCTGTGATAGTTTAGCGACAAAATGGCCAAATAAGCAACACTTAACCCTTTTGCAAATTATCTCATGATCTGCATGACAAACTTCCCAAGAATAGCATTGTTGTGCTAAATATGTCAAACAAAACAAAATAATTTTGAAGCAAAACTCTTAAATTAGCCCACATTAGTTCCATTGTCATTGTTTTGGCAAAAACACCAGGGGATTTTCTAGCCGTCCTCCAAACCAAAAATATGCATGTACGTATATGAAATTTCCATCGAAATGTAATTTTCATATGCGAATCCGGACGAGAAAATTCGATGCTTGCCTTTAACCCTTTCCTCTGCGCAAATTACAAATTGTCTGCTGTGGAATTCCTGGTACCTGATTAAAACAGGATAAAGATAAAGAACGCAGAAGAATGTTTTGCAAAGATTAAAACGGAAAAGAGTTGAAGTCCGATTAAAGGAACCGGATTTAGTAATTTAGTAAATTAAACAATGCAAACTATGTGGGCATCAGAGGAATACACGCCCTAACACTAAGAAAGGCTTCGGTGCGGCAGGTATGTGTGTGCGGTGTCGTTGACGATGACACACGCACACATTCCCGTAATTGGATCGAGTGTGGGATCAATGAATGAATCCAGTGGCTTTCATTGATCTGAGCGATCAAAGGCCAAAGAAATTCCTTGGCCCGGGGGCGAAAGGGTAAAGATCACCGATGCTTGACAAGCAGGTAGCCGAAAGGAAGGCGGATTGTGGGCCGAGTTTGCGGATTTGATAGAAGAGTCCTTGGCACACAGCGTCGCCAAGTAGTTCTTAAGCTAAGCTTACTTCAAGAATTGCCAGAGTTAAACTAAGGATTCATTAATCCATCGTCAGTGATCGCGCACACACTCGCCGTCGCGCTTTTGGCATAGATTTGAAAAATGTCGTACAAATCGGCGAATTAAATTTGAATATCCGTTGATTAGAACGGTTTAGGAGAGTTGTTGAGACAAACCTGGAATATGGCAAGGACTATAAGTAGTTTGGTGGAGGAGTGGAAGGGCATCAGTCACTGCTCAACAATCGTAGTGAACACATCTCTACACAAGAAAATAAATTTATCACAAGCAATTCAATATTTAACACACACACACACTCACATCGAAATGGCTCCTGTATTCCAATCGAATTTCTCCATTCGTTCCCTGCTATCGGATAAGAAACAATGTTTCGAGGATATTGAAAATTCATATGTACCCAGTGCTCCCAGCAGCCCATCGGCAACATCACAGTCATCCGAGGAATTGTCCAGTGATGATGCATCTTCGACCAGCAGCAAATCACCAGATGCCAAACCTGCCTACACATACAGTGCCTTGATTGTCATGGCGATCAGAAGTAGTCCCGAAAAGCGTCTAACCCTGAGTGGAATTTGCGAATGGATAGCCGATAACTTTGCCTATTACCAGAAGAACAAGAGTGTCTGGCAAAACTCCATACGTCACAATCTGAGTTTGAATCCATGTTTTGTTCGTGTACCACGTGCCCTTGACGATCCTGGACGTGGTCACTACTGGGCTTTGGATCCGTCGGCAGAGGATTTGACCATTGGCGAAACTACCGGCCGCTTGAGACGCAGTAACAATGCCATGATTGGTCGTTCCTTCGGTCCAGGTGCAATTCGTACAAAATCTGCTATGCACTATGGTTCACCATATGGCGGCCATCATCATCATCCCTATCATCAAGCCATGACAAATACCATGGCCTATGCCCATCATTATACACCCAACGCTGTGTATTTCCCAACACCCGAAGAGATTCGTTTGGCCCAACAGACAGCCTTATTGCAGAGCCAACGGGAACAGCAAGCTTGGTCCAACTACCAACGGCAACAACAACACTTGCAACAAATGCAATACCACCAACAATACATTTTGCAACAGGGCGGCATTCCAATGTGAGGCGAGTTTTGATGATCCAAATGGAACTTGGAATCTCCTATGAAAACCACAAAGTGGTCGAATAATGTTTGACATGGAGTTTCAATCGATCTTCAATGCTTCTCCTTCCTCGGCTTCATCCAAAGAGAAAGAGACTTTAATGTTGGCTCGGTATTCAATTGCGTAGAACGCGCTTTAGCATATAGTTTATTTAGTAATAATTGTTTAAGTTTTATTGTAAGAGAAAATTAGATTTAAAAAAATAAAAAAACTATTAAAAAATTAAGAAAATAGTATTTTTTATATAACAAACTAAGATCAGAAAAGCTTTGTTAAAACCACAAAACAAATCCATAGGAGTTGAACTGTACCATAATACAGATAGAAATTTTTAAAGTGTGTGTCAGAATTTTACAAGTGTTGGTGTACGAGTAGTTCAAAATGCACAAAACATTATACCAAAGCCGTTGATCGGTCAGTAGTTACGAGTTAGAGCCCTAAATTTCGACACAATCTACCCAAGGGCTACAGATCGTATATATCATTTTAAGGCCAAAATGTGTCTTACTGAAATAAAGGATCAGGAACAAAATTATAGGTTTCTTTTGACGAAATTAATTTCAGAGAATTTGGAATCAGTCTAGCCATGACTTTAAGTCCATCTGTATGTTCTGTCGGTGAGCACGTCAATATTTGAAGGAGGAATTTTATTTGTCCAAACTTGGAATATCGTAGTATCTATACCATCCTTCGAAGATGGGCTATATCGATCTAGTCCTTCTCGTACATCCTCTACATGAGTTCAAAATTTTACGCAAAAAATCTAAATCAAAAAATCTAAATCTTATGAAGGGAGTACTCAATATACCTTAAACTAATAATGAATAATAAAATAATAATATAAATAGTCTTATCTATGGCGTAACTATAGAATAAGATTTGATCAGTTATGAAATTGGACAATATTTGTTCACTCGTCCCAGTACCTCCCACCACAATAATAAATCTCGTACTCTCAACTTAAGCACATCCCTATATTTTATATGAGCGACGCTCAAAATGGAATATTTCGGCCCACTCTTTCCGGTACCTCCCCACAATATTTAAATTTACCAAACAATCATTCAAATCTAAAATTAGACTAATGGAGTAACCGGTGTAGTGCTAACTAATAATAATAAGGATTAAATTCAGGTGCTAATAAGGATTAAATTCAGGTGATACCACCCCCACAAAAATTCACTAATTCTTATATCTTCACCCAAAGAGTAAATCTTGACCAATAATAACTCTACTAAAATGTGAAATCTATTTCCGATTTTCTTAAAAAATCGCATATGTCATTTATATAACATTAGATCTGGCATGACCATATGATTTGTCGGTTCAATAATTTTGGTATGTTTCCCGCAATGAATCACAATTTAGCTCATAGCAATATTTGTTTTAACATCACATAAAAATACGTAACGTTTGGAGAAAATGCCTTATGGAAACTAATTTATGGGGAAAAAGAAAAGAAAAGGGTACAGGCGAGATGGGTCGACCTCAGATACCCCACAGCAGCTGAAACCACTTATAATTTTATTCTAAATATAATTTTCTTAAGAGCAGGTATACAGTGTGAGATTGAAAAAAATCCCACTGAGTCAAACGCAATCATTTTTACATTTCTTTAGAAAATCTATTGAACGAAAGCAAAACATGTCGGAAATAGCATCAAATTTTAGAATAAGTTTAGATTTGTTCGAATTGGTCATTGGTTTCAACGGCCAATGAAACCGTCACACGCTGCCCCAATGTTGCTCTGCGGCAATTTGCCCTATTCCCGCTTTAGGTGATCGATACTTTGGTATTTTTTAGTGCCAACCTTGCTTTCCAAAATACTCCAGAAACAATAGTCCAACGGATTGGTATCGGGAGATTTTAGTAGCCATTGTGCGCTGGAAATGAAGCGAGGAACCTCATTTTGTAACCATTCTTGGGTGGCGCGTGCTGAGTGCAATAGGGGTTGAGTACTGTTTGAATGTCCTAGGCCTACGGCCAAAATGTTTGCGTGTCCAGGCTTTAATACACCTTCTAGAATATTTTCGCGATAATATTCGGTATTTACTCTGATGCCACTGTCGATTAATACGAGCGGAGAGCGACCATCGGCTTCCATCACCATGGTCACACCATCACCATGACCGGCGTTTGGGTTCTGGTGGCCAACCGAAGGTGCACATTTTCAGCTGACCTCTTTGGCAAGTAAACACGATCATTTTGTTTGTTTACAAACTGCTGGACAACGAATGTTTTCTCATCGGAGATAACCAAATTCGGCAGTTCACCACTTTCGGCCAAGCGAAGTAACTCTTTAGCTCTTTTGGGTCTATTTTCTTTCTGTTGCTGTATAAGTTATTGCACTTTTTGGAATTTCAATGGCTTTATCCCGAGCTCATTTTTCAATATTTGCCGAATGGAATATTGCGATATGTTGAGCTCACGAGCCATTTTTCGACCACTGCGACCCGGGTTTCGATCAAGTCGCTTCTTTACTTTTCGAACTATTACTGCTGCCATTACTCCGTCCACTTTCTTGACATCGGGCTACGCAACCAGTATCATGATACTGGTATGAGCGATTGTACGAGACACAAAAGAGTTATTCACATTTAAATGCTGGAGTGCTCTAACGATAGCCACTTGTGGTTTTTCATCCAAATATAAAGAAATCAGATTATCACGCTTGAATTCCATCACGAATATCTTTTTTTCTGGAAAATTCTCACTAGAATGCTTTTGTATGCTTGTAAGCAATATAATGAGCTGTTGCTGGAATAATTTTAACAGCTGTCGAACGAGTGGAAAGAAAATTACAGCAGTTTGAATTTGGTTGCAGTTTTTTTTATCTCACCCTGTATATTACTTATGATATTATGTGGACGGAAATTTTTGAAATTAGATAAAATATTTCCATTTATGTGAAAGTTTAAAATAATGTCTAGTTTGTAGGAAATACGTACTGTTTATAAACAAAAATATGGAGCTGTTAACATTTAGTGATCTGAGAATGAAGTTACTCTAAAAGGTTTATCAAACAAAAAAAAATGTATTGTCATAATAATTATGATAACTTTGTTATAAGAGTTCTTTACAGAAAATTTGTTATGCAAGAGAAACATTTTTTTGTTTGACAGACGTTTGGTTAGAGTCAATGCGGCATTTAGCTTGACCAGGGTACAATACTTATAGAAACAAATTAGTTTGCTTCAAAATCCATAAAGGTCGGAGTTGCAGATATATGAATAAAGGCCCAAACGATATCTACTCTCTAACATTACAAGTGGGGCACTCCAGAACATAGACTCATATTGAGCTTTGTGGATTGTGAGTTTTACCTATTTAGATTTCAAAATATATAATTACTTATAATGTAGAATTCGGCTAGAGCCTTTAAAAACAAACAACATATAGATATATATTTTGGAAATTTGTTCGTAAGCCGAATTTTTATAACTCGAGAACGTTACTATTTGCAATAATTTAGAAAATGTGTCTGCAACCTTAACAGTAACGAAAAAGAAAAGGTAGAGGGGTTAGTAAATAATAAGCCTAGATTGGAAACATATTTTAAGAAATCTAATACTACAGTTAATTTGGCTGAAAAAAAAAACATCAAAAAACTTTTAATTGGTGGGACCGTTATAGGTAATTGTACCAAAAAGTGAACCAAAGGACTTTTAAATTACATAATGCCAAAATGCTTGCATTACAGGGTCATCACTACAAAACACTTTGGCATAGAATAGTAACATTTTTGGCAAAACCCCTACAAATGCCGATTTTGATCTTTTTCAAGGCAGTTTTGTATCCAGCTCACATTTTTTTTAAATCAATTTTAGTAACATTAAAAAATTTATCAAATATTACATTTGACTGATTTCCATTTAACCTCCTGTCAACTAAATTTATAATTGTGCAATGCAATTTTTATTTTGGTCCATTTCAATATTTACAGCATTACCAACAAAGCATTGGCAACAAAAACAAAAATCTTTAATGTTACAAAAACAATAACGTCTGAATTTAAACTGTAAGTGAAAATCACTTGAGGCATTATTTAGCTAAAATGTCAGTTATCCTTTTGGTATCAAGTCAATTATTTAACGAATTTGTAATCACATCTCAGTCTCTTGCCATCCGCAACAACAAATCGGAGGGAAAAACTAGAAAACAATAGAAAAAGAAAAAAAGGAAGGCATGAACCTGTACAAACCCGATACGTTTCTCCTTGGCAGCTTTAATAAATCCATGGAATACGAAATCAATTTGCTACCGAACACTAACAAAGTATATTCGCAGTAAGACAAAAAAAAAAGAAATGGACTGTCCAACAAAAAGGTACATAGAGATGCCGCATTTCAGTTTTTGTAGTAAGAGATTTTTATGGGTTTTATTACGAGTTTTCTGAGGGGTCATAGTGAATTTTATAAAAATAAATTTGAGGGACTATTGTGGATATTAAAAACATATATTTTCCTTGTGCATTGTTAAGGATATTATTTGAGGGTCAGAAATAAATTAGGAACTTATTGAGAATCGACGCACTGAAGCTAGAATCTTTAAACTTTGCACAAGGAAATTCGTACTAAAATGGTACGAAAAGTTCCAAAATGTACTAAAAATTGAATACATTGTTTTGGACAAACGAAATGAGCTAAAATTCTGAAATTTAGAATGAGAGTCACTGATGGAGTACACGATAGATGCACCAAGTTAGATGCAAAGGGTTTTGGGAAATTCGAACCTTTAGATTACGAAAAGTTCTAAAATTGTACCAAACGTCTAATATAGTACCATTTGGTATTATGTGAACGGAGCTAAGTAGAGATAAAGAAATTTGGCATAAGTATCAAGGTGGAAAGTAAGGTAGATATTTATAGGTGGTTTGGTTTGTGTACCATGTGTTTGAACTGTACTAAATGGTACTATATTTGGAACAGTTAAGTTTAGATTGAACGGATGAATTTTGAAATTTTGTATTGGAATCCCTGTTGGTGGTAATTTTGTAATAAAGAGGTGGTTTTGGAAATATGTACTAAAAGTGCACGGAAAATACTAAATAGTACCATATTAGGTACAATTTGGTATTGGGTGAATATATAGTATTTGGAATCTGAAATGTGCTAATGGGGTCGCTGCTCATGAAATTTGAACTGTAATTGTATGAAAAGTACTGAATGGTACTAAATTTTTTATTGGGTGAACGGATAGATTTACAA